TATATATTTATTTGTATTTACTTACATATTTATTTTTAAACATTATACATCTATTTATTTGCAAACATGTATCATCAATGCAACACTGACGACTTTGCATATAAAAATAATTAATTTATCATCACTTTTATGTTAAAAAAATGCAAACGAACGCTACAATTTGAGACTATTTAANTATATATTTATTTGTATTTACTTACATATTTATTTTTAAACATTATACATCTATTTATTTGCAAACATGTATCATCAATGCAACACTGACGACTTTGCATATAAAAATAATTAATTTATCATCACTTTTATGTTAAAAAAATGCAAACGAACGCTACAATTTGAGACTATTTAAACGTATAGATACTATGATCGTAAAGGAACTACAGGAAGAACTGAAAATAAAATGATCGTTCTGTAAATAAATATGCGGACATTTATTATTATCTTTATAATAGTTCTATAAAAACATTCTTCCTTATCGTAAAATAATTTTTATGGTACAGTATTTCTGTAATTAAGTTTAAATAAATCAATGTCGTTTAATATGTTGTAGGTACAAAATAAATTTCGTATAAAAATTATGTGACACGGAGGACCATAAATTTTTGCGGAACTGGATTTTGTTACATTATGAATTTAAGAGATGCGACATTCGAATTTCACTTCTCATTTCGTTTTTTTAAAATATTTAAAGATAAATTTATCTAGCTAATATATATATATATTATATAGATGTTTTATATTATTTTAATAATTTGTTGAATTTGTCTTCAAATGCTGTATCAAATAATTTAACAAAACTGTCATAATTCGACTTAAAAAAACAAAATTTGAGTATTGCATCTCTTAAATGCAATATAATGTAAAAACAATATGTATATTGTATTCATGTATGTATATGTATCTCATTCGTATCTATTGTACAATAATTCATTTATAATGGAGTTTCACTTACCAGTTAGGAAAGTCTGTTTCAACCAAATTTCGTGCAAAGTTTGGTATTGTATCTTGCGTGCAAATGCAAATTGATGTCAATTTGGTGCCAGTCTCTACTTAAAGCAGTGTACGGTTCTTATTTGGTATGAATTTGGTATCGTCTAATTTTAAACTCGGGTATTATTATCGAAATATGTATTGCAAAAAGCTTAAAACGTTAGAATTCGAATAAGATTATACAAAAATTTATTTCGAATGTAAAAATATCGATAACAAAGATGAAAAAGAAGACAAAAATTTGTACAATATTCGGGGAGTCGAAACAGAGTCCGCAAGAGTATGAGTCCAACACTCTACCACTTCATCTACATTTTCTTGTTGGCACCGTTTACATAACTGTAATAGTACGCGCGCGAACAGGTAAAAAAAAAAGAAATCTTAAATATCTTCAAAACAGAGGCCCAGTTTGATAAACCCCACATATTCCATCTACTGTGATTTCAAAATGCATGACCTAACCCTTGCCTTTTTTAGCTATCGTTACCAGATTTCGCCTAGGTTTAGTATGCATTTGGCAACATCAAACTTTGGTGCCAAATTTATATCAAATACGAACCGAACCGCGCTTTCAGCAGAGTCTTAGTATCAAATTGGCATCAATTTGTTCGCAAACATTACACAATATGTATTTTGTCGAAGCTGCCTTGGCTAACTGGGTAGTAACGATATGGTTTCTTTATGGAAAGAATTGAACAGTTTTAGAGCAAGGAAAAGGAGAGGACTGAACATAAAGGAAAATCAGTGGGTGCAGCACGTCACGGAGTTGCTCATAGGAAGGAAAAGGAAAAGACAGGAGCGAGATCTAACGAGGAAGTAGAGGAAGGGAGAGTAATCTCGCTAAGAAAAGATGAAACGAGGACTTCAGAATGAGAAGAGGAGTTTAGTATGGAGGAGATGAGACTAGAGAAGAAATAAAATGCAGACGGACTAATTACTGAATTTTTCTGGGAGTAAGTTTCTTCTGCGTAAGGAGTGAACCAAGATACTAAATAGTATTTGGAGAAAGAAAAGTTTAGCGAAAGAATGGAGTAAGGCAATAATTTGCTTAATATTTAAAGCAGGGGAAAAACGAGAAAGTAAAAAACTACCGCGAAGTAAAAACTACAAGACAAACTAAAATTCAGCAAATGGCTGGAAAGAAAGAAAATGCTTGGAAGAAATTAACAAAAAGAGGTACAAGAAGATTATACATTTATTTTAAACGCAACAGAATATTCAGGAAAAGTGGGTGAAAATAAAGATTTCTACGTATTGTTCATAATATAAGGAGAGGAAGCAGGAAGCATACTGGAGAGATAAAAAGATTAAAGAGAATGTATGGAAAAATCAACGAAAAAATGTTGGAATGGTTAAAGAAAATGGAAAGAGGCAACAGGCTAGGAGAAAAGGTGGAGGAAATATTAACACTTTCACAACCGCATATTATTAAGAAAAGTTTTGCAAGTGGCTTGCCACTGGTACCACGTGGGAGTCACCGGCAAATAGCGACTGGCCTATCAATGGTACCACGTGAGTGTCACCGGCAAATAACGACTGGTCTACCAATGACCCCACATGAGTGTCACCGGCATACAACGACTGGCCTGCCCATGACACCACAGTGGTGTCAGCGGTTGTGAAAGTGTTAAGGGAAAGCTCAATTCCAAAACATGTGAATATTCTGTGAGGTACGAGAAAAAAATAGGAAAGTCGAGAATACGAAAAGATGGACACTAGGAGTGGATGAATGGCAAAAAGCAATGGAGTAAATGAAAGAGCAACAAGAGAAATTTACAGGAATATAATGTACACATATCCAAAAACATATCAAAACTTATTCCAATTACTTTGTACACTATACATTTAGGTACAAACTACTGTACATAGAGTACTATAAATGAGAAAACTTTCTATTGTTTTCAATAACTGTCTTACAGAATATAAAATTATTATCTGATACAAAATCAGCAATAACAATATTTAATCCACCTCGGCCAGGTCGCTTCTGACTTATCCAAGATAAAATCGTTTTTTGACACGAAGCTACCAAATTCCTCTGTAACGTACCACATAAATGCTTTAATACATATTGAATGTCTGGAGTTAAAATACATTGTGATATGAAAGCAATTTGGAATGATCTCGCTTCAAGTTCAAGATTTAAAAAATCTACAAGTTCACTAACACGAACAGTGTTAGGCCAAGGTGTTTTCCATAATCCACTGGGCCACAAGTTTGAATAGTTTTGCGCAAAACTATTTCTATAAATAACAATTACTTGATACCTTTCTGAATTAAGCCAATTAAGTGTTATGTGATCAAAGCTAGAAGCAAGTGGACACAACTTTCTTTGAAACACATGGAGAATTGTGTCAACAAGATGGCGATGATTTACTTCTGAGAACGAATAGAAGTGTTGAAAATCTATGATTAGAATTTCATTCTTGTGGGAAGATAGCCATTCCGTTATTTCTTGTAATGGTTGGTATATTGTTGATCCATATAAGCCATGCACGAAATAAATATCTCCATTCGTTGGTTTTGTTGCAACACGAAAATCTAAGTATCGGATTCCTCCATTGAGCTGATCCTTGATATTGTCGTGTTGCGTAATAGACCAATTAAAAATAATGGGTTTTGAAACGAGTGAGCAGTAGCGGCCGAGGGCTCTAACGTAGTTTGGTGCATCCGGCCCTACGTCATTGCGACGATTTATAGTATAAGTCATCGTATTATGAGAACCTGTTATAAGTTATTGATTATTACACACTAACTAAATTAAAATTATAGAACAATATAGTTCTAAATTTTTGTACTGTTTTTTTGTTACAAGGATCTACAGTTTAAAAAGGTAATGAAACCGATTTAGTAAAATAGAAATTTTTATATTTAAGCTTGTTTTATTAATATTAAGACACCAAGATTTGTTTTTATATCTTCATTCTTCTAAGCACTCCTT